TTTTTTTTTGCCTTCTCATATCTCAAAAAATGTGTCTGTATGGCACCAACTTTCTTCCACCATTTCCTTTAGTTCCAGTGCCTCTATCATAAAAGAGTCCATGTTGTAAAAGAAGTCAAAGGCGGTCTTGAATAATTGGAAGCCTTCTGCCAGATTATCTAACGTCAGTTTGTTTTCTGACACTTCTTCTCGATCTTCTGCCTTCTTCCTCAGTGCAGGCACAACTCATCTCCATCATGTCATCTTTTAATTCCTCTGGTGTGCTCTTGGCTCATGAGTGTCTCTAAGATGCATATCTTTGTTTTTAATTCCAGTATAATTAACATACAGTGTGATGTTAGTTTCATGTATACAGTATAGTGACTCAGCAGTTACTCAGAGCTTCTCACAGAAAGTGTACTCTTAATCCCCTTCACCTGTCCCCCCTCCTCCCACCTCCCTCCCCTCTGGTAACCATCAGTTTGTTCTCTGTATTTAAGAGTCTGTTTTTTTCTTTTGTTTCTTTTTTCTTTGTTTGCTTTCTTTGTTAAATTCCACATATGAGTGAAGTCATATGGTAGTTGTCTTTCTCTGACTGGTTTATTTCACTTAGCATTATACCCTCTAGATTCGTCCATGTTGTGCAGATGGCAAGATTTCATTTTTTATACACACACACACACACACACACACACACACCCCAGATCTTCCTTATCCATTCATCTATCAGTGGACACTTGGGTTGCTTCCATAATTTGGCTATTGTAAATAATGCTGCAGTAAACATAATGATGAGTGTATCTTTTCAAATTAGTGTTTTCATATTCTTCGGTTAAACACCCCATAGTGGAATTACTGGATCATAGGGTAGTTCTATTTTTAGTTTTTGGAAGAACCTCCATACTGTTTTGCACAGCGGCTGCACCAGTTTGATTCCCACCATTAATACAACGAGGATTATTTTTTCTCCTCGTCTATGGCAACACTTGCTTCTTGTGTTTTTTATTTTCTCCATTCTGACAGGTGTGAGGTGATATCCCATTGTGGTTTTGATTTGCATTTTCCTAATGATGCATGATATTGAGCATCTTTTCATGTGTCTATTGCCATCTGTGTTTTCTTTGTAGAAATATCTAGTTCATATCTTGTGCCCATTTTTAATTGGGTTATTCGTTTTTGTGTGTGTTGAGTTATAGTTCTTTCTCTATTTCGGGTACTAATCCTTTATCAAACATGTCATTTACAAATATTTTCTCTTATTATGTAGGTTGTCTTTTAGTTTTGCTGATGATTTCCTTTGCTGTATAGAAGTTTTTTTATTTTGGTGGAGTCCCAATAATTTATTTTTGCTTTTGTTTCCCTTGCCTTAGGAGGCCTATCTAGAAAAGAAGTTGCAGCAGCCGATGTCAGAGACATTATCACCTGTGCTGTTTTTTAGGATTTTTGTGGTTTCAGCTCTTACATTTATTTAGGTCCTCAATTCATTTTGAGTATCTTTTTGTAGATGGTTTAAGAGAGGGGTCCAGTTTTATTCTTTTGCATTTAGCTGTCCAGTTTTTCCAACACTATGAGTTGAAGAGACTGTCTTTTTCCCATTGCATATTCTTTCCTCCTTTGTCGAAGATTGATTGTGTAATAATGAGTTTGTTTCTGGGCTCTTTATTCTGTTCCACTGACCTTTATATCTGTTTTTGTGTCAATACCATACTGTTTCGATTACGACAGCTTTTTAGTATAGCTTGAAATACAAGATCTATATCTTGAAACCCTTCACCCCTTACCTTTTCTGCCACATCCATGATTTCTTTCATGATTTCCTTGATTGGCTGTATTGTAAATCCTCTGAGGTCCTACACATCTGGACACAGTTTTCTCTGGCAGGAATTTATTGTTTTGGGTTTGATGGCTTTTTCTGTAATACCTGTGGCATTATTAAAGTATATACTACTGTCAGTTTTATGCAATTATTAATACTGCATCTTTATGTTCATTTACATTTCTTTCAGCTGCAAATGGCACCATGTACAGTCTGTGTGCATAAATTCTGATAAATTTTGACTTTTGTCATTTGTGTGTATTTTATGATAGCAAATGATAGAAGAGTATCTACATATATGTTATGTGTTCACAAAATATCTTTTTCTTAATATTTGAAAATACTTCTAGGCTATCCATTTCTACTGTAAGTTTTTTCAAATTGTTCGAAATCATTAAAAAATTTTCCAATCTATTTATTTTAAAAAATAAACATATGGGGGTACCTGGGTGGCTCAGTTGGTTGAGCGTCTTCCTTCAGCTCAGGTCATGGTCGCAGGGTCCTGGGATCGAGCCCCGTATCAGGCTCCCTGTTCAGCAGGGAGCCTGCTTTTCCCTCTCTCCCTCCTACTATTTGTGCTCTCTTTCTCTCTCTCAAATAAGTAAAGTCTTTAAAAAAAAAAAATCCACATATAAATGGACCTGCACAGTTCAAACCTATATTGTTCAAGAATTAAGTGTGTATGCCACATTTTTTATCTTTTCATCCATCAGTGGACGCTTAGGCTGCTTCCATGGCTTGGCTGTTGTGAATATTACTGCAGTGCACATGGGCACACAGATCTCTCTTCAAGACCCTAATTTCATTTCCTTTGGGTATACCAAAAGTGGGATTGCTGGATCATATGGGAGTTTCATTCTTCAGTTTCTGAGGCGCCTTTATACTCTTTTCCATAGTGGCTATAGCAATGTAAATTCCTACCTACAGTGTACAAGGATTCCCTTTTCTCGGCATCCTCTGTACGTACCTTGCTCTTGTTTTTTGGATAATAGCCGATCTTAACAGGTATGAGGTGAATCTTACTGCAGTTTTGATCACATAGCTCATCCTGTTTTTTAAGTGTGCTGTACTCCCGTGGCCTGTTTTTGCTTTTGTTTCCTGTGTTTTGGTGTCATATATAGGAAATCATTGCCAAGACCAATGTCAGGAAGCTTTTTCCCTGTCTTTTTTTTCTGAGAGTTTTATGGTTTGGGGGTCTTTTTTTTTTTTTCCTTAAGTTTTCTTTTTTTAAGCAATCTCTACACCCAACATGGGGCTCAGACTCACGAACTGAAGATCAGTTGTCACATCCTCCTCAACTGAGCCATCAAGGCACCCCCTATTTGATTCTTATGTTTAAATCTTGAATCCATTTTGATTTTTTGTATATGGTGTAAGAGTCCAATTCATTCTTTTGCTTGTGGATATCCAGTTTTCCCAGCAGCATATATTTTAGGAGACTGTTCTTTCCCCATCATTTATTGTTAGTACCCTTGTTAAAGATCACTTGATCATATCTGCATGGTTTTATTTCTGAACTCTGTTCTCTGCTATTGGTCTCTGTCTGTTTTTATGCCAGTGCCATACTGTTTTGATTACTCTAGTTTTATAATGTATTTTGAAGTCAGGAAGTGTGATACCCCCAGCTTTGTTGTTCTTTCTCAAAATTTCTTTAAACTATTTGGAATCTTTTGTGTTTCCATACAGATTTTAGGGTCGTTTTCTATTTCTGTAAAAGATGTCATTGGAATTTTGATTGAATTGTCCTGAATCTGTATATTGCTTTGGGTAGTAGAGACATTATAAGAATATTAATTCTCCAATCCACGAACATGGGTATCTCCATTTAGTTGTGTCTACTTCAATTTTTACTTTGAGATTTACTTATTTGAAGAGAGAGCATGAGAGGGGAGAGGGTCAGAGGGAGAAGCAAACTCCCCGCTGAGCTGGGAATCTGATGTGGGACTCAATCTGGAGCTCTGGGATCATGACCTGAGCCAAAGGCAGTCACTTAACCAACTGAGCCACCCACGCGTCCCGTCTGCTTTTATTTTTTATTAGTGTTTTATAGTTTTCAGTGTACAAGTCTTTCACTGCCTTAAGTTTATTCCCAAGTGTTTTATTCTTTTTGAAATGAGATTATTTTCTTTGTTTTTTTTAATTTTAAAATTTAAAATATTCTGAGTTATGTAACTATTACATTTGTTACATAATAACTGTATAACTAATGTTATAAGTATAATATTATAGTTATATATTATATGGTAGTTAGGTATTACATAAAAATATCTCATTTGATCTTTTTATATAATAATGTATAGTACAGTATTATAGTTTTATATTATTGTAATTATGTATTATTATAATATCATACATTGTTTCATTTGATCTTTGCGACCATAAGATAAGGTATTCAAGAGAAACATCATTTGATGGAATTTGTTTGTTTGTTTTAGTAATAGAGTTGTTAACTTTGGTGACCTAACTTGGAAGTTTTAAATAATGTATTTCCTAGGCTAAACTAGTAATTATAGAGCAATATGCCTTTAGAATGCAGATTGATGTCATTTTGTTTCATATGAGGGTTTTTTGTCATATGACCAAAAATAAGACTATTTCTGTATCTTAGCAGTACTAATTTTATACCTCTAGTTTAGTCCATTGTTTCTCAAATGAAAGCTCTTGGCAAATACCTGGAAGGTCATTTATAGATACATAAGTTATAAAACTCCAGGCAAATGATGGGTAGCAGTATTGGTAAATATAGGTCATACAAATTAGTAACTCAGCTTCTTCACCTTCTGAACCCTGTCTTTCCATTTCTTCTTTCTTTTATGTTAAAATCTGTGGTCATGCCAAGAAGTATGGAGGGGGAAAGTAAAGAGTTAGGATAGTTTTTGTTTGCTAAACTAATGATAGAAATAGAGATTTGGTGGAGTCATGATAATACTACTTTTAAAATCTGTGGTTTAACCATAAACCTAAATAAAACTGAATTGTCTATCAATAGAAATGGTGAAGAATTTTTAATATAATTTTTAAAAATATTACTCATACTTGAAATGATCAGAGGCACCAGAGTAAATATTTGTATCAGTCTGAGGTAGAGAATAGAGGAAGAGGTAGAGAATGCAATTAACATTGCATTTTACCTAAAACCCTTGTCCAGTTAGCTCAGTAATCCGTAATCCATAATCCATGTTTTGTCCTTTTTTCCCTTTTACAGCATCATCACCAGGCAAGAGCTCAATATATGGCAGTTTTTCAGATGGTATAACATGTTTTCTTTTCTTTTAGTTGTGCTTATTTTCTTTGTTCTCTTAACTTTGTGCCGTAAGTTTCACTACTTCCATTAAATAATTTGGGTCAAATACTTTAAGGCTTTCTCACAAAACAAATGTATTTTATGTATAAAGCATAAAATACATTATACTAGACCCCATGGCATGCTGTGAATAATTATGAAAGAAATAACTCTTGAGTCTCAAGGAGCTGTCAGTCTAACGGGCATTTAGATCTTCCCACATTTTCTTCTATTTCTGGCTGATTTCTGCCTTATATTCTCTTGGTGGAATTTGTATTTTCTTTCTCTGTTGGAAATACTTAAATTATGAACCATAAATTGATAGTCTTTATTATTCCTATCATTAGATGACAGCATTCAGAAATCAGAGCTTGGAAACCAGTCTCCTTCAACCACTAGCCAACGTAAGTTTGTGTATTCAGTTTCTATTAAATGAGTTTCTAAAATTGGTCATACATAATTGTTTTACACTTTTTTGACAGCAAAAAATAATGCTATTTGAAGAGTTGTATTTTAAGCACTTAGGAGGAAAATTATATATTTTACTAGCAGTGAAATTCTTTAAGGACAAACTATATGAAACAACATCTGGTTTTCCCTTTCACTTAATTAACCATAAGACCAAAGTAAAAGCAGAACTGCTAATACCAATAGCCAGGTGAACCTTGCTGTGTCAAAAGAAAGATGGCACATGGCCTGATGTAATAGGATTACCACGGGTTTTAGAGTCCACAGACCTGTATTTGGATTAGATTAGACCACTTAACCTTCTGTCACAGCCTTCCAGCAAGTTTCTTTAATTCTCTAAGCCTATTTATTATCCCAAAGAGTACTAAGAAAATAACAGTGACTCTCACTTTGGTCTCAGTACTACTTTCCACTAGCAAAATTGGTACCTTTAAAGAACTTTTCTTATGTAATATGGGCTATACCTATCCATATTTACCTAGAAATTAAAATTGAAAAACTTTAAAAATACCTACTTATTTTTAAATAATTTAGTAAGAATAGTGACAGATTGCTTATATTTTCTAATCTCTTCAGTGTCTGGGTTAATAGAGCTGCATTCTCATATCAGCTTCTGTATTCAGTCTGTTAAATATATTGTTTTGATTGCGGTATATAGAAAAACACAGCTTTATACAGATAATGTGGATTTTTTTAATAGTCTAAATATAATTTGGGATATTCTCTTTTGATACTGTCCAAACTCAAAAAGTTACTTAATATGTAAGATCTGAAACCAAATTAGTGAATTTTTTGTGTTCTGTTACATTAAAATTGGCCTTTCTTGCACTTTGAATGGAATATCATGCACTGATCATTGGGAAAATACTGGTTCACTAAATTATGTAGATCTTCTGAATGTTGACACATTTCTAATACAGTATAAAAAGATCACATTTGTTAATATCACCACCAATCTCGAGAGAAAAAGTCTTTAAGGGTTCAGGAGCTGTCGAGTTTATAGTGTCACATACAGTATTTCCACAATCCTAATTTTCACTTTAAACTGTGAATTTTATAATTGGCAACAAATATTGTCAGTTGTTTTCCTAGAAACAACAGACTCACTTTGTTCATTTTCAAGAAAATGTCTGGCAAATAAATACTCAAGTCTGACTAACCATAGTTTGTCCCTTGTTTTTAAAAGTACTAGTTCAGCTCAATTCAGTTGCACAAAATTCTTTTCCCTGAGAAAACTACTGTACTGTGCCAGGTATCAGAAGCACTTTATGTATATTTCCCAGTTCTTCGCATAGTTTATCGAGATTTGTATTCAAGGGTTGAATTTTAATATGATAAATAATTTTAACTGCTTTATGAAGCAGTTTCGCTGATAGCCTTAAATGCATGGCTGTGAGTACGAAGACTACGTTAGCACTGCCCTGTGATCTATGCTAAGGTATCATTTGTTTTTCCCACCATGGCTTTGCACCATCAATGCAAATGTCAACATGGTGGGAAAAGTCAGATAACATCTTAGTGTTACGAGACTAACTTTTTAACCTCAAGGACCCTCTTGGAAGGATCTAGAGGTACCCAGCAATCACAGTTTGACAACCATTGCTCTAAAAGTTTCATAGTACGAATAAAATAGAAGGTGTAAAAGTATTGTTCCTATTCTATTTAAATGAAGTGGTATATGAGAAAGTATTTAGATTCTTTTTTTTTTTTTTTAAGATTTTATTTATTCGTCAGAGAGAGAGGGAGAGAGAGCGAGCACAGGCAGACAGAATGGCAGGCAGAGGCAGAGGGAGAAGCAGGCTCCCCGCCGAGCAAGGAGCCGAATGCGGGACTCGATCCCAGGATGCTGGGATCATGACCTGAGCCGAAGGCAGCTGCTTAACCAACTGAGCCACCCAGGCATCCCATGAGAAAGTATTTATAAACTGAAAAGCACTAGATAAATGTAAATTGATATTATTATTGCCAGTAATAATTAGGAATGAATTGCATAATCAATTCTACTGGTAGTAACTTGCATTCCACAAAAGGTGGGCATCGGTGCAATTAAAGGGACAGCTAGCTACTATAAAATATGGAAGACTTTCACTTACAGTGCATCCTTTTTTAGTCCCTTTATATACTTCAGAAACATTGCATGTCTGGATAATAAGCTGTATGAATTTGGGGTGTCTGAATTTAAAACTATATTATCAAGTGACTTTTATTATTGTTTGCCTCCCAAATATTAACAGTAGTAATAATAGTTCTGCCTTAAAAATAATATTATTTCCGACTTGCTTATGCCATTTCATATCTTTGAATTCTGCTTTTTCCTTTTAAGGCTTTTTATTATTTTGACATTGAAGAGACACATGCATACTTATATGCCTAAAACCTATGGGTGTGAGATTTTCTTAAATACATGTGAGGAACATTTCTTTTTTTTTTTTTTTTAAGATTTTATTTATTTATTTGACAGAGAGAGAGAGATCACAGGTAGGCAGAGAGAGGGGGGAAAGCAGGCTTCCTGCTGAGCAGAGAGCCCGATGCGGGGATCGATCCCAGGACCCTGAGATCATGACCCGAGCTGAAGGCAGAGGCTTAACCCACTGAGCCACCCAGGCGCCCGAAGAACATTTCTTTAAGAAAGTAAATTCTGGGGCACCTGGGTGGCTCAGTGGGTTGGGCCTCTGCCTTCAGCTCGGGTCATGATCTCCGGGTCCTGGGATCAAGCCCCGCATCAGGCGCTCTGCTCAGCAGGGAGCCTGCTTCCCCCTCTCTCTCTGCCTGCCTACTTGTGAGCGCTCTCTCTCCGTCAAATAAATAAAATCTTAAAAAGAAAGAAAGAAAGAAAGAAATTACTAGCTCCATTCTTTAAATTCCTTCCTCTTTTATCTAATGTTTATGAAGAGTAATACTGATTTTAAGTCACTTGTCCTTGAATCTAAAAAAATGGTATTCGAATCTGTCATTTCTTTCTTTTCTTTTTTTTTTTTTTTTCTGTCCTGAGCAGAAGTGACTGGACAACCCAAAAGTGCATCTTATAGCAAGATGTGGTGGTGGCTACTGGTTCTGATAGTTTCTTTGGCTCTTGGGAGTTACTTGTTCCCTCATCGTCCTGAGGCGGACACCACTGCTGTTCAAGAGTTCCAGAACCAGATGAAACAACTTATGAATAAGTATCAAGGTCAAGATGAGAAGCTGTGGAAAAGGAGCCTTACATTCCTGGAGAAACATCTGAACAGCTCCCAGCCCCGGCCTCAGCCTGCTATCTTGCTGCTCACTGCAGCTCGGGATGCAGAAGAAGCACTCAGATGTCTGAGTGAACAAATTGCCGATGCCTACTCTTCTTTCCGGAGTGTCCGTGCCATCCGGATTGATGGGGCAGGCAAAGCTACTCAGGACAGTGATGTTGTCAAACAAGAGGTAGATTGGGAACTGAGCAATGGATTCCAGAATGGCCAGAATGCTGCCGTGGTACACCGCTTTGAGTCACTGCCTGCAGGCTCCACTTTGATCTTCTATAAATATTGTGACCATGAAAATGCAGCCTTCAAAGATGTAGCCTTAGTCCTGACTGTCTTGTTGGAGGAAGAGACACTGGGAACCAGTCTAGGCCTAAAGGAAATTGAAGAAAAAGTGAGAGATTTCCTCAAAGTCAAGTTCACCAGCTCTGACACACCCAACTCCTACAAACATATGGACCAGGACAAATTGAGCGGGCTCTGGAGCCGTATTTCTCACTTGGTCCTGCCTGTCCAACCTGAAAATGCCCTGAAAAGTGGCATCTGCTTATAAGTGTGACAGAAGACAAATCATGTCTCAAGTTCTGAGAATTTTTCAGACTTTCTAGCTAGAGATGGGATTCAGAGCTCTTTTTGAAGGAACTGGTTTCTTTTTAAAGGAAGTTAAATTCTTATGTAAACATGGAACATCTAAATCATTTATTCAACCTAATTATCTGTTACCTGAGAGAATCATTTCTCTGTTTCCATTGAGATCTGTGTTAACGATCTCTGAGGACTGTAAATCATATGGGATCCCATAGAGGATCTGTTTAGGTTCAGGGTTGAAACATTGGTATGACCAGACCAGGTTGGTGGGGGGGAGGGGGCGGTTGGGGTCCTTCCTATGAATCCTCTCAATTTTTAAATTAGATTTTTCACAGAGTTTGCTATTAGTAAGGCAGCTCTCTAAATGCAACTGTGGGTTTTCCCATTTTGTTCTCTTTTACATCATTAGGTGTGAGTTCCTTAGCTTCCCCGTATAGGAACGAGAGTAATGAAAGGTCACCAGAGTGTGTTTTGGGATTTTTTTTTTTTCTTTGTTTTTGGAGGGCGGGAGAAGGAGACAAGGCAAAAGAGAAATTGTGGAATGAGGAAGGAAAGGGGAGAAAAATCTTCCAGATGAAATTTAAAATAAGCCGCTGAGACAGGTCTCCCGGACATAGCCATATGAACTCCATTCTCGGTGAGTTCTGTTCGGGTTTATTTTTCACATATCCTTTTCTTCCTTTAAGAAATTTTCGGTCCTCCAAAGGATTTTGAAGCATGTATATTATAAGGTTTAGCATATTTGTTCATTTGACTCTGAAGGGTGTGGTCAATTCAGAGCAGTTTATTTTTGACATATCCTGAAGCCTTTGTTTTGAACTCAGAAATGCAGTTGCATTTGTCCACCAGCTTTCCTAGACTGCTGAAGAAGGACTCGATTCTCTGTGTGCAGTCCTAAGTCCTTTAATGACACTCTTACGACAAATGTAAAGATTTACTGTACACGTGATAAATTTTATTAAGAGTGCCTCAAGCCAAAATGAAAGTAAACTTGGCCATATGTGAAGAATGTTGAAATGTACTACTGTGCATTCCTGTGCTACTGTTGTGTTTCAGGTGTCACTTAGCTTCTGTAACTGAGCTTTCTCAAAATTTGTCGAGCGCTTTGCTTTTCTTAAAATCTTAAGATTCCGGATCCACCATGGTTTTGTTTAGTTTTTTATTGTCTACAAAACTTAAAATGAAAATACTGTTTTTAGAATACTAGAGGCAGTCATTGACTTAACCATTTACCTGTTGAGGATCCCATGCCTGGTAGTGGGGTGTGGTCTGGTTTCCTCCAGCTAGGACAACCAGTATTCCTAAATTTATACCCTTTATTGAAATTTGCTCCTGACTGTCAGAAGTCAGGCCATCTGATTTATAGAGGATTCTAAAACAAGAGTTTTTGAAAAGGCTTATTTTATACACATATATTATATGGAGAAACAAATGTTTTTATTAAATGTTTCACTGACCAAAATAATTTTAAAGAAATTAACATTACTTATATCTTTCAGGAAAAATAATTGTAGCAGCTGATCTGTAAATGACTTTAGAAGCTATTTTAGTAATTTAAATAAATTTACTTTCTTGGTTTGTACTCTGTCTTGTAAACTTAATGATTCATAAACTTTTGGGTTTTTTGTCAGTTAATCCTAGAGCTTTCTTGACACTTAAACAATTTTAGTAACTTCCGCTAACAGAAACAAAGGCCAAAGAACTGGAGCCATTCACAAGTGTATTGGTTAAAGATGTAATCACCATGGTTTTCTGTTTCGTGCAGGTGTTTGAAGTATCACTATGTTGGAATTAATTTAGGTTTTCCTGGCTTGTCAAAAGTATCTACAGCAGTGTTGCTCAAATTTTTTCTTCTTACCTTGGTAAAGAGCCTTATTAAGATACTGTTTTTTCTAATTGTCTACCCCTGGAAATTCTAATACCACACATACACACTGTATCTGTTCATGGACTATTTATTTTTGTCCTTTATACATAAGAAGATAAGATTTTTTGCCCTCCAAGAACCGTATTTGTCCCCGCTGAGAATGTAAGCTCGAGAACACCTGTATTTGATTTAATTTATGTATGTATGTGTATATTTATCTATTCATTACATAGACTCCATGCCCAGCATGGAGCCCAATGTCAGGCTTGAACTTAAGAACCCTGAGATCAAGACCTGAGCTGAGATCAAGAGTCAGACACCACCGGGGCATCCCGAGAACATCTGTATTTTTGATGCTGCCTGAAACGTTCTATTTTCTGTTTATGTTATCACCCTTTGGGGAGGGAAAATTTAGTAAGTCATCAGCTTGAAAATAGGAGCTAGGGTTTCTAGCAATTAAGCACATTGTGACTTTGGGTGGCAACACTGGCCCAGGGAAAACCACAACACAGTACTGGTCTTAGAGATTTCTAGAAATTAATTTGCTTCCCTTCCTTTAATGACTTTCTTATTTTTAGGGAATTTTTCTAGCTCTAGTTCTCAAAACAAAGGTAGGAAGTAAACTTGATTTTTATTCTATGAAGAGAACTGTAACTTCTTTGCATAGTTCATGCCCTTAGTTAATACCTAAAGACACAAAATCCAGTTACCCTTTGATCTTAGGTCTTTGGAAAGTGGCCTTTATGTTGGCAATGTAAGGAAGCATTTCTAGTGACTGGATAATGGACTGTTCTGCTACATTGTCTCTATCAAGGTCATAGAGTAAAATCTTACAATATGAGGATTCTACTGGCATTATCCACCTGGGAAGAAGATGTGAGTCCTGAGTTGGAAAACAAGCCAAGAACGTTGTCATCGACTAAAAGGAAACTCCTGCCTTGAATATCTTTCTCTCTTTGGCCTGGATTCAGAGAAGTCCTGACATGCTTGCAGCCTCTTGGGGATTGTAGGGAAGATAGCCTGTCACCTGAGCATATATAGGCAGAAACCCTTCACCATTTACATATTGTACCATTGTCTTTTGCCCAGTTCTAGACACGTCTGGAATATTTCCTCCTCTCTTGCCCTCTCCCTTTCCCCAATTTTATGCTTTGCTAATTCTTGTTTGTTCTTCGGACTCAGTTTTTTAGGCAGACTGCTCAGATATTTGTTGAATAAAAATTGCACATCCTGCCTAATTAGCTGAAATAGGTTTAGTCGCATCTTAGTACTTCACCTGCTCTTTTTCTGTTATTCCTGAGCCTTTTTCTAAAGCTGTAGAACTATTTCACGGGGCACCTGGGTGGCCCAGGGGGTTAAATATCTGCCTTCAGCTCAGGTCATGATCCCAGAGTCCTGGGATAGAGCCTGGCACCAGGCTTCCTGCTCAGCGGGGAGCCTGCTTCTCCCTACTTGCTGCTCCCCCTGCTTGTGCTTGCTCTCTGCCTCTTCTCTCTCTCAGTCAAATAAATAAAATCTTAAAAAAAAAAAAAAAGTAAAGCTATATAACTACTCCAGCCTCATTTCAGTAGTGCTATGAGTAATTTAAGGAAGAGGACTGATGCCATGGGATCCCGGTTCTTTTCTGGTGGAAGCAAGGATTATTAGTGAGGGGTCTCCAAGGGGAAGGTGAATGGTAAGAGACAAAACTGGAAGGCCATGAGGTCTTTATGCTGAGATTTGAAATTTGAGTTTCCTTTAAAAAGCAAGTTTTCATTACATCTTCTTATATTGCTTAAGAGGGAAGTATAGTCCGAATAAGGGATGGCTATAGGTGTGGAGAGAAGAAGGATAAGAAAAAAATATTTAGGTAGAAATGACAAAGTATGGTTAATTGAATGTTAGAGAAAATACCTCATAGAGGACTTTTCAAAGTGTTCTACTAAAAATACCTCTTCAATCAATTTAGCCCCTATATCTTCTTTCCCCCAAATACTGAGCACACAGTGGTAAACTAAACTCTTAACCTCTGCATGTCTTTGTTGACTTTTAGCAGTTTGAAGTAGAGATAGACACATATTTCGTCAGGAATTGTTTGATTGTAAAATACCCTGTCTAACCAGAAGAGAAGAGGAGAGTGTTGTAAGAATGCATTGCAGCCTCCAAGACTTCAGAGGCTGGTGATGAGAGGACTGTTGACGGACAGCTCAGCTGCCATTTCCTCTGCCTCTCTACTTCCTGCTTGCTTCACCTTAGTAACCTCGCCTTTGTGATTTAACTACATCAAGAGGGTGAACTTGATTGGCTCAATTCAGTGTATGGATGAACCCCGAAAAAATATATATAATGAAACATAGCTGCCTAGGTCACTCCTTTAACAGGGACCATGGGAATGGGGAATGGCATTCTCCTGAAGTCAGGCCACCAAGTGGGCAGATAAGGCAGATAAGGCACAACTAAAAACATCTTCAAATCTATGAAGACCTTTATATGACATGATGCTGGTTATTTCATTTCATTTTCACTTTAAAAAATGAAATAAAAGAGGCTCCTGGGTGGCTCAGTGGTTTAAAGCCTCTGCCTTCGGCTCAGGTCATGATCCCAGGGTCCTGGATTCGAGCCCCGCATCGGGCTCTCTGCTTGCCTCTCTGCCTACTTGTAATCTCTGTCTGTCAAATAAATAAAATTAAAAAAAGATTTTAGGGACGCCTGGGTGGCTCAGTTGGTTAAGCAGCTGCCTTCAGCTCAGGTCATGATCCCAGCGTCCTGGGATCGAGTCCCACATCGGGCTCCTTGCTTGGCAGGGAGCCTGCTTCTCCCTCTGCCTCTGCCTGCCACTCTGTCTACCTGTGCTCACTCTTGCTCCTCTCTCTCTGACAAATAAATGAATAAAATCTTTAAAAAAAATTTTTTTTTAATGAAATAAAAGGTGATGGAAACACTATTAAATTTTAAAATCTGGGTCTTGATCATGGCTCTGTCTAGATGAATTTGACCTAAGCAAGTCATTTATGTGGCTCTGCTACAAAAGTGTGCTGGTTTCTTCCTATTGCTTCTGTGTTTTTTTATGCTGAAAAAAGAACAGTTATCAAAACTTCAGGTGCTATCTTAATATGCAATGGCTACTATTAATTTGTTATAAGTCCCTCATAAGAACACTAGGCTTTCTTTAGTTTTCAGACTGTGTCTTGGGCAAGTGTGGTGGTGGGAAACTATGTACCTGATTCAAATTTGATTTTTTTAAGTTTCTCCCCGCCATCCCCAATTTTAGAGAATACCATTCTTGGGCTAAACTTGAGAATCTTCTCCATGCTATAGAGCCCTTTACAGAGAACATTCACTCAGTAGTTATTCTTGGTGGACAATTTTTTAAAAATCTCTCAATCTCTCATAG